GGCATTCTCGTTCTTTTAATAATATTCTTTCTATTTTGTTAGTCTTGTTCGTTGCACACTTTAATATTCAACTTAGTATCAAAACGGGTTCGATCCTTAGGGTTCAATCCGTTCTCATTGGTATCAATTTGTTTGCCTCTGTCGTTGTTCGTTTTAGATTTGTTAGTTGGTATTGATTGTTTGTAAGGAAAAAGAAAATGAAAGAGAAAAAGAAAAAGAAAGAAAAGGTTTTGCATGCAAAGGAGAAGATCCCCCAGCAAATGAAAAAAAGGGGACGAAGAAGAAAAGAAGAAAAAAAAAACCACGAGAAGAAAAAAGAGGAAGAAGGAGAAAAGAAAAAAAATAAGAAAGAAAAAAAAAAGAAAAAAGAAATTATTTTTAGATGTTTGTTTTAGGCCTGCAGGAATTGTTGGTTGGCCTGCTTGGAATTGTGACCACTCGAGTGATAAGAATTTGTTAATTGCTGGAATTGCTTGTTTGCTTGCCTGCTCGCTTGGATTGTTCGTTTGTTCGCTTGATTGCCCGCTTGCCTTGTCGTGTCCACCTAACGGAGCTTGTCTTGTCGTGTCCGCGTAACGGAGCTTGCATCTAAATTTGCTTGTTGGCAACCTCATGACGTGTACTGCCATGAGTTTGACGGGGGGTGTTGGAATTTATTAGGTTTATTTAGGAAATTAATTAGAGATTTGATTTGATTTGATTTTGTAGTAGGGTATTTTTGGCATTTACGCATTAGGGTTTCTTAGGTTTATTGCTCTATAAATAGAGCTTGTAATTTAGTTTGAGAATCAAGCTAGTCACAATGTAGTCTCTTAGGGTTTTATAGCCGTTTCGGCATTCTCGTTCTTTTAATAATATTCTTTCTATTTTGTTAGTCTTGTTCGTTGCACACTTTAATATTCAACTTAGTATCAAAACGGGTTCGATCCTTAGGGTTCAATCTATTCTCGTTGGTATCAATTTGTTTGCCTCTGTCGTTGTTCGTTTTAGATTTGTTAGTTGGTATTGATTGTTTGTAAGGAAAAGAAAAATGAAAGAGAAAAAGAAAAAGAAAGAAAAGGTTTTGCTTGCAAAGGAGAAGATCCCCCAGCAAATGAAAAAAAGGGGACGAAGAAGAAAAGAAGAAAAAAAAAACCACGAGAAGAAAAAAGAGGAAGAAGGAGAAAAGAAAAAAATAAGAAAGAAAAAAAAAGAAAAAAGAAATTATTTTTAGATGTTTGTTTTAGGCCTGCAGGAATTGTTGGTTGGCCTGCTTGAAATTGTGACCACTCGAGTGATAAGAATTTGTTAATTGCTGGAATTGCTTGTTTGCTTGCCTGCTCGCTTGGATTGTTCGTTTGTTCGCTTGATTGCCCGCTTGCCTTGTCGTGTCCACCTAACGGAGCTTGTCTTGTCGTGTCCGCGTAACGGAGCTTGCATCTAAATTTGCTTGTTGGCAACCTCATGACGTGTACTGCCATGAGTTTGACGGGGGGTGTTGGAATTTATTAGGTTTATTTAGGAAATTAATTAGAGATTTGATTTGATTTGATTTTGTAGTAGGGTATTTTTGGCATTTACGCATTAGGGTTTCTTAGGTTTATTGCTCTATAAATAGAGCTTGTAATTTAGTTTGAGAATCAAGCTAATCACAATGTAGTCTCTTAGGGTTTTATAGCCGTTTTGGCATTCTTGTTCTTTTAATAATATTCTTTTTATTTTGTTAGTCTTGTTCGTTGCGCACTCTAATATTCAACTATCTCATATCAAAATGTGGGAAGATATCACATATGTATGATAAGCACACGCAGGAGCATTTTCACTGCAGTTCTGGAGGAACTTCCTGGTGGCCCTGACATGTTCCTTATTGCAGCTAAGTTCTGCTATGGTAGTGGAATTGACTCCAAGAAATGTAGTAATGGTGTACTGTGCAGGGGACTACCTTGAAATGACAGATGAGTATGGAGAAGGAAACTTGCTCTCAAAGTCGGAGAGTTTCTTCCATAAGAATGTACTTCACAACTGGATAGACTCAATCTTGGCTCTTCAAAGTTGCGAGCCTGTTATCCACTGGGCAGAAAAGCTTCACATGGTAAACAAGTGTGTAAATGCTATATTGGTGACGGTTTGTGCAGATCCTAGTTTGTTTGGATGGCCCATGATGATGTCTTGTAGCTTACAGAGTCCTGGTGGAAGCATCCTATGGAACGGAATTAACACCGGAGCGAGAATTCGAAGCTCTGAGTCTGACTGGTGGTTTGAAGTTACAAGTTTCAGTTTGACACTGCTTTGTTCACATTTGATGATCCATCCACATGGATTTTCTAGCAACGAGGATTCTCGTGTGTTTTTTTTTTGTGGATCTGCGAAGGATGAGACATCTTGTCTAGCTGGAGTAAACTCGGTGACTGAGTCGGCAAGTGCTTGGGCTTTAATTGAAATATTGCACCGATAGATGATTTCGTATTATCCTAATTCGATGACCCACTTGGTCAATCTGGACGATGTTATGTAGGATAGATCGAAGCAAGTACTCTGTCATGTAAATGATTTAGAATGATTGAAAGTACGGCCAGAGTTTTCTAGCTGTTGTTACCAAATCTGCACTGATTGCACATTTTGACAACCCATTGTTAATTATAAACGAATTATGATGTCTTTTTGTATCACAATTGTATATCACTTTACACCATCTCCAAATGAGATGTCAAATATGTCAAATAGGATTAAAAGACATTTAAGAGCATCTCCAATAGAGATATCAAAATGTCCAAATCAACAATAATGGTAACAAAAGACAGTATTAATGTTTTCCAATTGAGAAGTCAAATCTGATGTGGTATGACATAGAATGACATCTTTTTTCCTTGTTGCCAAATTTGAAAGCACCTTCAGATTTTTTAATTAATTATTAAATGCTTTTTATTAGTTTTTTTTTTTTTTTTGTTTAAAGCATTATCCTTTTGTTTCTTTTCATTCCCAATGCAAATAAAATACATATGAATTTTTATTTTATGTTTAAAATTTGTCATATTGATTAGAGAGCAAAACTTTAAAAGATGTCAAAGTGCCACATAAGCCTACAAATTTAAATTTTAGATTTAAAATTTGACATCTCCTTAGGAGATGGTCTAAGTGTTCTCCATGTTTTATAGCTACCTTTTTTTACAGCAAACAAATAGTGAGTCAAATATGTTTAATTTAATTTTTAATGCACGGGTCCGGTCCCATTAACAACCAATAGAATAAAAATTAAAACTAATTTAGATTATTTTTTAATAGTTAATGTAATTCTAGGCTCAATAAAATAAATATTTGACACATCCATTAGAAAAGAAGAAAATTTAGCATTTGTATTCAATTTGCTACATCAGCTATCAAATAAAATTTTGATATACTATATTTGACATCTCCTTTGGAGATGCTCTTATGTGGCATCTGATGTGGACAACCATATTATCTAAATTAATTAGCATTTAATTTTAAAATTTTAATCAATAATTAATAAAAATATAGTTAATTAAATGGTGATTACGGTATACAAAGAGTCTCCTCCTTCGTTCCCCCTTCAATTATGCTTCTTCTTCCTTTCCCTTTCTTTTTCATGCCAGTTTTTTTTATTGATTTCCATTATTATGATCAAACTTTATAGAATTCACTCGTATACCACAATCACCATTGACTTCTATCTCCAAACTCATGCCTCGTAGCCCCAATCCTCATTCCCCTTCAAGTATTTGTGTCTCCAGTCCTCATTGGTACTCCATGGTTGTTCATCTCGTGATTTTTTTTTTTCTTTTCAAAATTTTCTTTTGGTGGTTTAAAAGAAGGATTTCATCTGATTATTTCACTAAATAAAGCCTATTAGCTTTCATGAGAATTAGGAGTCAAAATCAAATTTGTCTATCGGATTAGAGTTCATACCCAATTAAGTTATTAACGCCATAAGGAGATCTTGAAGCCCGCAAGTTTCCTTATTTAAGTGTTTTAATTAATAAGAAAATTGAAATTGAAATTAAATGATATGGCTTGTCCAACTCATCTACCACTTAAGACGGTAAAGAAATATGGTATAATATTATGGTAAGAATAGTAATACTCGAAAATTAATGTGTAAATAATATATGGGAACTTTTTTTTTCAATATTATGTAACATTGGATGGTACAAAAAATATCAATAGGCTTTACTAAGTAGGACTGAACCAGATTGAAGTGACTAGACTAAGGATTAGGTACTTTCGTTTTTGTTATGTATATATGAACTAGTTTTAATGAGATTACGAGAGACTCACGCCAACTAAATGTCTCACCAGCCGGTCTTAATGAGACCCCAAAAAGTAAAGGGAACTTTAACGAAAAGCACCGGTACTGTTCACTTTAACGAAAAACCATATTTTTACACTAAAAAGTCAATCCTGTTACTATTCACTTTACCTTTTATTTTATCCTTATCATTAAAACTCAAAGTTTTCAAGCCATTTTCATTAGTTTTCTGAGTAATTGATTGCTAATCCCATCCCTCTTTATTTCACTGTTCTTTCGCCTTTCTTTCAAATTTTCAGTCTCCCTGAAAAACCCAAGTTTACTAAATAACCCTAATGAAAATCGATCGCATCCAAAAGCTACCACGACGGTCAGACACCACGCGTCTCGGAGAATGATTGCAGGGAAGGTGTTTGACAAAAAGCCTCGGGGAGAGAGAGTTAACAAACACATAATTATCCCGTCTCCAACAACAAAAAAATACCCAATTATTTACTCGACCGGCTAAAGAGTAAAAAGAAGGCCCCTCTGCAATCACTGACTGATGCTTTTGCTTGCTTCTACCCCATGGCATTGTTCCCACACATGCCGGCCTCTTCTGGGTGTCCCAGTTTTATATATCCTTTGCTTTGCGCACGTATTGGGGGCATCGTGATCTGTGCACTCTTTTCTGGGTGTTTGATTAAATTTGAATTTGTGTTGGTTTTTTTTTTTTTTGTTTATTTATGGTCTCATCCCATCTTATGGTGTTTGGTGGTGTGGTGGTGGTGGGTGTGGGGTTTTGGGGTTTTGTGAATTGATGAGAGAGAGAGAGAGAGATAAAGAGCAACACGGCATTTGTTTTGACTAATAAGTTGGACTTGGATTCCTACTTACGTTGATTGGTGCCATCTTTATCCCCTTCTTTGTCACTTTTGATTAAACAACTAGTTTGTGTCTGTGTCTGTGTTCTTCTCTCCACCCCATTTCATGAAGCTCTTGTTTTCCTTTTCCTAGACAGAGAGAGGGTGGAAGGTTCTCTCTTCCCACCTCAGCCATGGCTCCACCTGGGAAGGTTTCTGAGTTTTGCAGCGAAGGCAATGATTGGTAATCTCTCTCTCTCTCCCCCCCCCCCAACCAGTTTCATGAACAGAAGTACAACACCTTTTCTTCAGTTCTTCAACTTTCTAAATTATTGTTCTTGGGATTGAATTCATGACCCTTTAAGGCCAAATTCTTATTATATTTCAGTTTGAATTCAGATAAAATTCTATTAATCAGTTTCAAATAATACCCTTTTTGTTAAATTGCAAATTGTTTATTTCATTGGTTTATACAATTGATGAACACAGTAATACTATACAACCCCTTTTCTTCAAGATTTCAATCTTCACAGTAATTTGGGACTTAATCAGACTCTGATTATATTCAACCATAGCCTTCAATTGCATAATTGAATTCAGATAGAATTTTATAATTCAATAGTAAATAGACCCTATTTGTTAGAGCTCAAATTGATTATTTCATTGGTGTATGTACACTTTCATGAACAGTAATATGACCCCTTTTCTAAGTTTTCTAAGTTTAATCCTCCCAATTATTGTCCTTTTAGGGACTTAAATTTAATGCGATATCGAATTTATGGCCTTTAAGGACAGAGGGCCAGAGTTTGTTATATTTAAATTACAGCTTTCAATTCCATGATTCAGTTCAGAACTTCAGATAGAGTTTTATAACTTAATCTCTTAGAGCATCTCTGATGGAGAGATGCAAATTTGAGATGTAAAAGCCTCGTTTACATCCCATTTTACATTTCCGGGGAAGTGTAAATGTTAGTTCTACTCCACTGGGAGAGATGTAAATTTGGGATTACATTTATTGTTCTCCCTTTGATTGGTGGGGCCCACATCTAACAGATGTAATACAAGATGTAATTTTACATTTTTATCTATATCTTCTGGCAAAGATGGATATTTTACATCCCGCCATTGGAGTGTTTTCTGGCCAATTAAATATGTAAAACGCAATTTCAAGGTATTTTGCATCTTCCATTGGAGATGTTCTTACAAACCCTTTTTTGGTACAATGGAAATTGATTGTTTCATTGACTTAATGTATGGAATTGGAGAGGCTTTGTAATTGATGTGGTGTTTTCTTCTTTTCTCTGTCAGGTTTTGCAAAGCGCGATTGCTGAGTGATATAACTGTCGTGGTGGATGGCGTGAACTTCCACCTTCACAAGGTATGCGCCTATCATTTGCTATGGTGGATTATGGAATTTTGTGATTAAAAGTGGATATAAACCAGTACCAAGGTTTCTTTTTTGGGTAAATACTAATAACAAGGTTTAGGTTATTCCCAAAACTCAGAAATTAATTGTTGACTGGCTTTTTAAGATTGTAAAAAGCATTTCAGTTTCCCTGGTAGTTGGTGGTGCATCATAACTCACAAACTTTCAATATATGTTTCTATAACGAAAGAAGGTATTTTTCTAATGAAAGCCGCGTTAATGTGGACTGTGGAATATGTAAGGATGTCTGTATTCTGAAAATCAAAGCTTTGAGCATTATTGCTTCATTTCACTAATAGTAGTTATCATGTTTCGTAGATTTATATTCTGGATTTTTTCTATATTTGTGTCTGTTCTGGCATTGCTCTCATTGTTGTCACTTTTGTTAAGGATATTTCTGTAATCATATCACAATTGTTATGGTGAATTCTTGGAATTATTACTTATGACAATTCTTTACTCTCCAGTTTCCTCTCATATCAAAATGTGGGAAGATATCACATATGTATGAAGAGTTCGAAAGCACAAGCAGGAGCATTTTCACTGCAGTTCTGGAGGAACTTCCTGGTGGCCCTGACATGTTCCTGATTGCAGCTAAATTCTGCTATGGTATGCGAGTGGAATTGACTCCAAGAAATGTAGTGATGGTGTACTGTGCAGCGGACTACCTTGAAATGACAGATGAGTATGGAGAAGGAAACTTGCTCTCAAAGTCGGAGAGTTTCTTCCATAACAATGTACTTCACAACTGGAAAGACTCTATCTTGGCTCTTCAAAGTTGCGAGCCTGTTATCCACTGGGCAGAAAAGCTTCACATAGTAAACAAGTGTATAAATGCTATATCAGTGATGGTTTGTACAGATCCTAGTTTGTTTGGATGGCCCATGATGATGTATGGTAGCTTACAGAGTCCTGGTGGAAGCATCCTGTGGAACGGAATTAACACCGGAGCGAGAATTCGAAGCTCTGAGTCTGACTGGTGGTTTGAAGACATCTCATACCTCAGTGTGAGTTTGTTTGAGAGGCTTATGAAGGCAATGGAAACAAGGGGCATTAGACCTGAAAACCTAGTGGGTGCTGTAATGCACTATGCCAGAAAGTACCTACCTGGCCTAGGACGATGGCAGGGTGGACAACATGGTATACCCAGAACAGTTACAAGTTTCAGTTTGACACCCATTGCCCTTGATCAAAAGGTAGTTTTAGAAAGCATTGAAAAACTTCTTCCCCGAAAGAAGGGGAAATCGTTTTGCCGTTTTCTACTTGGTCTTCTTCGTGTTGCATTAATATTGGGTGTCAGTCAAACCTGCAAGGATGCTTTGGAGAGGAGAATAGGGATGCAGCTGGAATTGGCAACCCTAGATGGTCTTCTAATTCCTACTTATTCAGATGCTGACGCATTGTACGATACTGACTGTGTTGAACGGATAATCCATCATTTTATGTCGTCAGAATCAAAGGTTACACCACTTTCTCTGTCATCTGTCAACATGGAAACATCACCTTCGTCAAGACCTTTACAGAAAGTTGCGAAGTTGGTAGATAGCTATATTGCGGAGGTTGCTTCAGATGTGACTTTAAAACCAGGAAAGATACGCTCTCTTGCAGAGGCCCTCCCGGAATCTTCAAGAACTTTATATGATGGGCTGTATAGGTCGCTGGATATATACTTCAAGGCACACCCTTGGCTCACAGATAAAGAGAAGGAAGATCTCTGCAGCATCATCGACTTCCAGAAGCTATCTATTGATGCCTGTTCCCATGCATCCCAAAATGAAAGGTTGCCACTCAGAGTTGTTCTTCAAGTACTGTTCTTTGAGCAGATGCATTTGAGAACGGCTCTAGCTGGTTGTCTTCATGGCTTGGAAACTCATAGTGGCCCTGCAGGTCCTACGACTGTCCAAGGTGACATGACTGGCCAGATTATACAGAGGGATGGGTGGGTGACTATGGTGCGTGAGAACCGGGTTCTAAAGGTGGATATGGAAAAGATGAGATCTAGAGTCGGTGAACTCGAAGAAGAGTTCAGTCAAATAAAGCAAGAGATGAAAAAGGTGAGCAAATCACACAGCTCCCTCAGTTCTCCTCGTGTGGTTGGCAGGAGAATTGGGTGCAGTCTTCTTTCACAACCATCTGATGCTAAACCAGATGCTATTCAAAGTACGCGGCCCTCCCCAAGATCATCAGTTGAGCAGGGACGCCCTTCGACCTTGCATATTAGACACAAAAAAAGTTCCTCGTTGTTTTGAGAGCCAGTCTATAAGCAATTGAAGTCTGCCTCAGTACGTAGAGGCTCTGGTTGGTTAACAGAAAGTACCCGAGCAAGGAATGGATGGTTCATGCGTACTCAACAGCCTCGAAACAATTCCATGTTTTTGAGAAAGTTTATTTTCTTCATATTTCTGTTAACCAACCAGAATAGTTTCCGAGTTATAGGGCAACGGTTGGAACTTGGCCAATATCAGGAGGAACCATTATATTTTAAGAAGTTACTCTTACCTTACCTGTTACAGGATGCTAGTCCCATCCGAGATTCGAAATCAGAAATCTGTGCTCTGCATCTTGATACGGAGGTTTGTTACACGTAAATACACCTTGTTTTACACGGATTTTTTTTTTTTTTTCAATTAGCATGTTTATGGGTTTATACATGTACATGTTTATGACCCGAATTGTAACTTATAGGTTGTGAAATAGTGGAAAATATTGGTAATATATGAATTTGAATTTGTTTGCCTTCCTTTGAGGTGTCTTGATTTTGAATTTCTGTTCATTAAACAGTGGAGAGTATCTGTAAATGAAGGATTGTAATCGAGGAAAGCATAGGGAATATACGAGTCTCTTTTAAGTGGGGGATTCTACTATGTTACGTGATGTGAGAGATAGAAAAGGAGAAATAACCGGTTACATCCTTCTGTTTAAATATTGTGGAGCTAATTCATTCAAATTCTAGGCAGAGAGCCAAAACTTTCATCGTTCTGCATAGACAACAAAGTTTGCACGGGCAGCATTTATCAATGTTTCGTTTTTGCTAGGCTGGCCGGCCGGCCCAGCCTGTTTATAGCTACTTTAGCGTAAAAATGACAAAAATTTGTTTCCAAATTGGCAAATGAACAGTTGCTAGATAAATGTAGCCTGAATGGAGATAAAAAAAAATAGCAGAAGTTAAATTTAAAATACTATTAAAACTGACTTTTGCTTTTGCGTTCTCTTTCCTCTTGACCCTTCCTACCTGCTGCTCGCGTCTCTGCCCCTTGCGCCTCTTCAACTTGGCTTCCTCCATCGCATTTCCTGTTATTATAAGTATAGCTCGTCATCTGTTAATTTTTCATGCTCTAATGGATATAGTTGTTCAATCATTCTCCCATTATCATTTCAGTTGGAGTTTTTTTTTTTTTTTTAATTGTTGAGTTTGAAGTGTTTCTTTAAATTTGTGATTCGAGAAACAAATTGAAATTTGGCAAGAAATGTAATCCGGTTGTCATTTTTTTCAAGGAAATGTTCAGAAATAGGATAATTTTTTAATCTTGTGATAGAAATAGGACATTTTGAATATGCAATGCTTGCATAACAATCCAACAGAAATAGAATTTTTCATACATCTTGAAATGATCAAATTGTCCTCCCATATAAATGGGTTATCTAGAAGTTCAAACCCTCATTTCTCATTTTGTAGAGAGAGAAACAAAGAGGAGAGAGAGAAAAAAAAAATCTCTCTCACCCAATTTCAGTTTGAAGGACTCTAACCCACCCATCTTCTGCATCCAAGATCTCTCTCTCTAACCCACTCATCTTCTTCATCCAAGCTCTCTCTCTCTCTCTCTCTCTCTCTCTCTAACCCACCCCTCTTCTTCGATTTTTACTTTTTCATTTGTAGGTTTTGTGAACTGGATTTGCTTAATTTTGCTTTTTGATTGATGAATTTTTTTAGTTGAAGTGATTGGTTTGGTGTTTCTTGGAGAAGACTCAAATCCTTCATTTTTTATTTTTTATTTTTTTTATCATTTCTCTTATTTATATGTGGATTTTTCATTTCTTATGTCTTCTCCCTTCCTCTGCTCCCTCTCTCGATCCAAATTTACAAGCACTAAAATAGGATTTGGCTTTTACTGCAATGAAATGAAAAAATGTATTGAAGGTCAGTTGCCTTTTGGAGAAAAGATAAATTTGAGTGAAAGAGAGAATCAGAGTGGAAAGAAGGAAGAGAGAAGGATATGCACAAAATTGTTTCGCGTACTCATTCGCTCTCTTCGTATTAAGCTCGCTCATACACTGTATGTACACGACATGCACATGTAATGCTCACAGATCTGAGCTCAACCCCAAAACTCATAGCTCACAACTTTCTCCTCAAAATCTGAAGAAGAAAAAAATGACGCAATCAAATAAATGACCTTAAACTTTATATGAAAATTGAAGATTCATTAATTTGAATTTGGTATCAAATTTGATTGTGTTCAAATATTTCAAGGATTTGAAAATTGCAGTTTGAATGGGCACAAAAAACCCAAATGAATCAAAGGAAGTTGTTTCACGAACTCGTTCGCTTTTTTCATATTTGGAGGGCCTGCTTTTGAATCAAAGGAAAAAGTAATAAACAAAGTTAATGCAAAAAGTATCCAAGATGTAAATACGCATCATATACACTATATGCACACCACATGCACATGATATGCACAAAATTGGAGAAACTTTAACGGCAACATATTGATATAGTGGATACAATTAAAACATATTTGTTACGCATATAAGGTTACAGTGACAATTTGAAAAATCTTATTACGTATATCAACCACCGTCTAACCGTGCACGTGGAAAACATGATACTCGTTATCTTTATTTCATGGACACGCATGACTCTTAACGTCTTCTAATCTTTCTAATCTTTTTCTTAATTTTGTTTTTCATTGAGGCCAACTAGGTTATGGTCATACTCGCTAAATTTCATAGCACAACATACATGCATCATAACTAGTGAACATTCTCGTAGACCATATGCACACCACATGCACATTACGGAAAAAATTTCATAAATTTCTGCGATTGAGCACATGAACCAAAAATTGTTCCATCCCTGTTTGTAGCACATCAAAACTTGAAATTTATTCCACAACCTATATCCCCCATCATGAAACACAAACTGTAATTTAACTTCTAAGTATTAATTCATCTTACAAACAACTCATTTATTCCATAAATCATTGATGAAGGCACTTGGAACTAAATACTCTACCTTACTATGTTTGCCGAAGCTTTAGTTGTGGGAAAAAATGAAACTTTCCGGCCAAAACAAAAAATATAGTGCAAAATCCAGCTCAATCTTCTCACCTCTCTCGCATCCATTTGTTTGAAATCAAAGGTATGAGGTCAACCCAAAACCCAGCTCATTCTTCTCGCCTCTCTTTGAACTTTCCTCTCTTCAAAATCGGAGCTCAGAGATCTAAGCTCAACCCATAAATTAGGGCTCACAGAGCTCTCTTGACATCCCCCTCTTCCAAATGAGAACAGTGATGGAATGAGCTGATGATTTTTTGTATTTATATGTGGTTAATAATTTCAATTTTGTGCATGGCCGGTTTGTCCTATTTCTGTCCTAAGATTAAAGAATTGTCCCATTTCGGGTATTTCCCTAACAAATAATACGACAAAAATCTATAGTCCTATGGACTATAGAATATTTCTAGCTTTTTAACGTTTAGATTTTCGTTTTTGTATTTTTAAACAAAAATATAACAGTAAAACACTTGAAATTCTCTGGCGCACTATAGAAAATCTCACAATACAATAATTACACTAAATTCATTTAAACTAAACAAAGACAGATTCAATCTTGAGTGCGTTGGCAATGGTCTATCTAACTTTATTTTGCTAGCGTAAATAAAAAGCCGAAGCAAGCATAACATCAGCCGACGCTTTGGCCGAGTGGTTAAGGCGTGTGCCTGCTAAGTACATGGGGTTTCCCCGCGAGAGTTCGAATCTCTCAGGCGTCGAGAATTTTTTTCATTTTTTGATATTTTAAACTGTATTACAGCCAATCACTTTCTGCCACGTGGTTATTTTCCACGTAATAAACCCCTGGGATAGATTGCCCGCCTGAGTTTTATCCTCTATTTTCTTATATTTCCCAAACTGTTTTACAGCCAATCAATTTCTGCCACCTATTACGTTTTCACGTTCTCATCCGCAGGTGATTACGATCCCTTCAGTCAAGTTGTTTTGGAACAGTGAGTCTGCGACTTCCCTTTGTGCTAGTTACACAGAATGTCAGTTTGTTCGCCACCATCGCATGCCCACCTCCCAAACGCCGTCGTTTCCAGCTCCGCCTCCGAAGGCAGAGTTCCTCTGCAATGTCTCCAAAACCCTAAATCCCATTCCGAACTCACAAACTCGTTAAAGCTGGTGGCTTCGCACCATTTTCCGTCTCGGAACCGCCGTTTCCATCTCAATTGCGCGGGATCAGAGGCTACCTCCGTCGCGGGAAAAAATGGTGATTTCACGGAGGCGAAAGCGATGGTTTTTGACCCGAAAATCGACGGTTCGGGCGGAGGAAATGACGGTGGTGATGGCGGCGATTCATTTGGTGGCGGAGGAAGAGGAGAAGGAGACGGCGGGGGTAAAGAGGATGGTGGAGAGGAAGAGGAGTTTGGGCCATTGCTGAAGTTTGATGAGGTGATGAAGGAGAGCGAAGCTCGGGGTGTGAAGCTCCCTCTAGACATGGTCGAGGCTGCAAAGACTACCGGGCTCCGGGAAGTGTTTCTTCTCCGCTACTTGGATTTGCAGGTTTGAATTTTTGCTTAATCTGGTCGTCATTTCTGTTGAAAAATCTTTTACGCTACGATTTTTATCGGGTTTGTGATTGAATTTTGGTTATTTTGTGTTTTGATAATTGAAATTCAGGGGTCAGTTTGGCCATTGGGTTTTTTGATGAAGTACTGCTCAATGCTACGTAATCGGATGATGGCTGATCCTTCCTTTCTTTTCAAAGTTGGGACAGAGGTTTGGTTTTGTCCGTTTTCCGTTTCGGTTTATAGTTTTTGAGTGGTTTTTATTATTTTGAGTGATTGGTGGCGTTGGTGATAATTCTATGAGCTAGATTACATGTATACCTTGCGTTGAATCTGGACTGGTTTACAATTTCTGCTCTTGTTAACTACTGAATAGATTTTTCCTCGTCCACCTTTGTAATGCAGATAGTCATAGATTCTTGTTGTGCAACATTTGCAGAAGTTCAGAAAAGAGGAAAGGATTTCTGGGCTGAGTTTGAGTTGTATGCTGCTGATCTTTTGGTTGGAATAGTGGTTGACATTGCTTTGGTTGGCATGTTGGCACCCTATGCTCGGATTGGAAAGCCGTCAGTATCACAGGGTTTATTAGGAAGCGTGCAGAAGGCTTGTGCCGCTCTTCCTAGCAGGTTAGCACTACAACGCAGCATTTTATGATACTCGTATTCTGCTGTAGGTCATTTAATGTTATCTATCAGTAGTTACTGCGTTAAATTTGCATTTGGTAAGAGCTCAACAAGTACTCGTATTGTTTACTCTGATTGTACTCCATCTTTCCAGTCATCTCTGTTTATATTTTTAATTTGTTTCATTGTTACTCAAGTCAGGGTAAGAAGGACTGCTAAATTCTTAGGAAACATAATTATTCATCATTCTGCTCTTCTTAGATAGCTAGAAATGTTAAACCTTTAACATCATGTTCTGTTTCACTATTTCTGCCTGTATTCATCTATACTAGT